GACTTGGGCAAAAATTAGTTTTAAATGGTTCGCTGAATCTAATTTGTTTTAATTCACTCCCGAACTAATTGACCTGTCCAGGATTTACCTGTGGAGCCTTATTCAGTGAATAGCATGCCACAGGTCAATTCCATTTGTCTGGGTGTGAATTAAAAATAATTAGTTTTTAAAACACCATTCAAAAATAAAAAATGTTCACAAGTCTAGTTATACTAATTCGGAGTGGGGCTAAAAAAAAAAAAAAGGCTGAATGGCTCATACCCTATAATATATCCCAGGAGCATAAACTGCTATTGTGCCTGGAGTATCCCATTAAAGGACCACTCTAGGCACCCAGACCACTTCAGCTTAATGAAGTGGTCTGGGTGCCAGGTCCTTCTAGGCTTAATCCATTTTTTCATAATTATAGCAGTTTCAGAGAAACTGCTATAATTATGAATGGGTTAAGCCTTCCCCCTAATCCTCTAGTGGCTGTCTCATTGACAGCCACTAGAGGCGCTTGCGTGCTTCTCACTGTGATTTTCACAGTGAGAGCACGCAAGCGTCCATAGGAAAGCATTGTAAATGCTTTCCTATGCGACGGGCTGAATGCGCGCAGCTCTTGCCCGCGTGCGCATTCAGCCGGGGGAGGAGGAGGAGGAGAGAGGAGAGAGCTCTCCGCCCAGCGCTGGAAAAAGGTAAGTTATTACCCCTTCCAGAGCCGGGCGGGAGGGGGTCCCTGAGGGTGGGGGCACCCTCAGGGCACTATAGTGCCAGGAAAACGAGTATGTTTTCCTGGCACTATAGTGGTCCTTTAACTTGTAGTAATAGGCTTTTACTGAACAAACCTACTGAGGGCTATTTTTTTAGATCACTCTATAGCTTTTTAACCCCTTAAGGACACATGACATGTCTGACATGTCATGATTCCCTTTAATTCCAGAAGTCTGGTCCTTGAGGGGTTAAAGCCATTCATCTGCTGGATTTCATATACCACACTTTACAGACAGGGTTACCTTGTATTACTGTGCTCCCTGGATCCAGGGACAAATTTGGGCCCACCGACTCACCACCCTGAAGCCACATAAACCATGTCTTACACCCATTCAGTGGTGTATCCTGGTTTTGTGCTGCCCTAGGCAGGACAAAACTCAGGCACCCCCCGCACCACCTTCTAAATACACACACACACACACAGTCAGTCAGACACACACAAACACACACACACAATCACTCACATTAACACTTTTTTTTTTAGCTCCTTACCTTTGGGAGTGCTGGGGGGTTCCTCTTTATACCTGGGGTCCAGTAGCTGCCGGTCGGGCTGATGGGCTGGCTACTGGGCGGGCAGCTGGCGAGGGAGCACTTCCTCTGAGCACTCTGCTCAGCTCCCTCGCTCGCCGCAGAGTGAGGCTGGGAGCCGGATTGATGACGTCATATTCCGGCTCCCAGCCTCACTCTGCGGCGCGCGAGGGAGCTGAGCAGACCGCTCAGAGGAAGTGCTCCCTCGCCAGCCGCCCAGCATGTCAGTTAGCCGCAAGGCTAACAAGGCATTTGCCCTGGGCATTTGGGGGCGGCTTTTTTTGCCGCCCCCTGAAAAATGCTGCCCAAGGCAAATGCCTTGTTTGCCTCGCGGCTAATACGTCCCTCCACCCATTACTTTACACAACAAAAGTAACCTACTCTCTGACGCTACTAGTTTTTATTCTTCTATCTATAGTTTTCTACAATACCCAATAAACACCCCCCATTCAGATTATAGCACACCTCACATCACCCTGTACAGTTTGGCATGTTGAGAAATGTATCCTACAAACACCTTGTCGCCAGTCAGAAAGTCCCAAAACCCTAACCCATCACCACAACTCTTTATATTGCTCCTTGTTTACACCCCAATTTTTCTCCTCACTACAAACTGGAGCTAGTGTGCACCCTCCAACAAGTACTGCCCTTATGCAGAATATTTCAACATCACTTTCTATGGGGAAAAAAAATATTTGGACAGCACAGATATCACATGTTTTGTTGTGCTTTATGGAGACTTTTTTGGGAACACCTGAGATAAAAACGTAGACAAAACAAAACAGGGGCCCAAATTGTGACCCTCCCACCAGCATGGTATTTCATAGATGTTGGTTGGGCCTACACTGACACCAGCTATGAAGAACATCAGGATCGTGCAAAACGTCTGTAGATCTGCCATTTAGGCAACCCTGCATTAGACATTAATTTTTTTTTCTGTTCTCAAGAAAAAAAATGTTGTCTGCATTGTATAAGCATAATACCAGTTTAATCTATCAGAGAAATGTAGTTTCTAACAGTTGTGAATCTGGTGGGACAGTTCCAGTTTTGGGCCC